GCCGTACTGCAGCACCTGTTGTCTGCCAATGAGTCGGAGCCGCCCTGTATCCTGTGTTCGGCCGGAGATGCCATCTCACTCGGGGTGTTTGGAGCAGACTGGGACAAAAGGGTAGGTCAAACACAACATAACACATTCCACAATTAATCAAAGGTAAAGACACCCTTCTCCGTCAATTTCGCCAGCCGATGAAAGTATTCAGATTGGACTCCAGAGCCTTCTCAGCTCATCCATTATAACTCAATCAGTTTTTATCCCCCGGAGGAAGGGGGGGGGGGGGGGGGGGGGGGGGGGTTGGGGGGTAGGGGTGATAAAGGAACGGTGACTAAGGAACGGAGCTCGTCCGTCTGTCCCTCTTTCCGTCCGTCCGTCCGTCCGCTACTCAAAGGGGACAATTTTTCCAAAAACCTTTAAAGTCAGAGATATGAAATTTTACACACTGATATTACTGGTCATGATCTCAAGTACGTTCCAAAATTGTTATCGTACATTCGTTTTTACAGAGTTATGGCCCTTGCAACTTGCATAGTATGTGCATAGTGTGTGGGGACAAGTTTTCTCAGAAACTGCTGAAGTTGCAAGAAATAATGGTCAAAACTAAGTTCGAAAATTGGTCCAGTATGTTTGGGTTTTACAGACTCTTGAAATGAGCTAGGTGCTGGGAGATAATTGTTCTTTTTATAATGAGGGGCAAGAAATTTTAACTCTAATTTACCGTTATTTTATCCATACTGGTGCTGGTGCCTAGTCAGAACTCATAGAATACTTCTACATGTATTTATTTTTAAAAATATAATTTTAAATATAAAAAATGCAACAATTCGCATAATCCACAAATGCTGATAGATTTCAGTACATTTGCTGTTCACAAATTTACAACATATCAAACATGGCAGTGATCATGTGGGTTGGAAATTCATTTCTTATCCCTGTCTTATTTTAGCCAAAGCCACATTACTTTTTAGAAACTGTTACGAATTAGTGATGGTCAGATCGCCATAATCAAATTTAACAACAGTTCTTTCAGATTTCAATAACATAAAAAACAAACTCCGTGTACTTTCGCTTGCCCCACCCCACATTCTGTGTTGCGCAGCACGTTTGCGTGACACAGCAACTTTGTGGTTCGATGAACGTGTGGGACTAGCAGAGCGGCACATGCTTACGAGGGGCGTTCAGTAAGTTTTGCAACTTCAACATAAGACCAAGTCGCAGAATATCTTTTGCACTTTTATTTTTGAATATATTCTCCATTCTCCTCAATACACTTATTCCATTTGTCCTTCAAGCTTTTAATACCACTTTTATAGAAATCCGCAGATTGGCCCTCTAACCACGCCTCTGTGGCAGCCTTTATGTCCCCGTCATCCTGGAAGCGTCTTCCACGTAGGGCAGATTTCATTTGCCGGAACAGGAAATAGTCACTGGGGCCTAAGTCTGGGCTGCAGGGTGGGTGATTTAACTGTTCGAATCCACATTCACATATGGCGGCCTGTGCAATTCTCGACCGGAGCATGTAAGGAACTTTATGACAGCGCGTTGTTCATGTTTGCGAGAATCCATGATTGTGACCACCCTTAGGTGAATGAAGCCATCACATCTAACTTTTTGTTGTGTCTGGGACTTGTTATGACACGTGTCAAACTGATGTTATGACTAGTGTCACACCTGCCACAAGTTGACATTGTTTGTGTAAACACAAATGCCCAAGTTGCAAAACTTATTGAACGCCCCTCGTACCTTTCTCGCAAACACCCGGTGTCACCATGGATTTTCATCTAACTAACTGAATTGCTAGTTAAACACCACTTGGCAATGACGGACCACCTTTTTTCCTATAATTTATCTTGATGGTAGAACAATTTCATGAAAAGCGTTTGTCGCCAGCGGGATTCGAACCCACGAAGTCCGCACGGAAGGCTTACGAATGTAATCTTATTCCACGGCGACGTGGGAAAAATTGTCTGAAATAAATAACTTACATCATGACAACTGGCTCAGCTATTTTTGAACTGCGAAATATGTTTTATGCTCGAAGTGCTCGAGTTGGTCCAAAATGAATGGTATACTTGCCCCGGGATATGCATTTTATAACCAAAATCGGCAACGTGCGAGGTGCACGTGCGAAAGGCTCGGGGGACAGTTTCCACGTGCTTCAGTGTTCTCACAGTTAAGCATAGAGTTCCAGAATATCTTTCAAAATACCTTTAGCAAGACGAATTTTTAAAACGTTTTCGGTGCTATAAATGTTGGACATTGTTTAAGTATTATAGACCACTCGGACCCCAGTGTCTAATCGTTGAAATGGTTGATTAAACCGCGATTAGACACTGCGTCCTCGTGGGCTAACCTATACTTATAAAGCTAAACATTTGAATCTGAAGTTTTGTTTCAGGGATCTCTCCGTCAAGATCTCAATGACCATGGTATTGTGCTGAATGAGTTGACCTCTCCTGATCCCCGTCTGCTGTCCTTGGAGCGGCTCACTGTCCCCAGTATCCCTACACATTACCTCATCCGCCAGGCGGGAAGCCTTCTTCTGCATCTGGTGGTGTTCTACGAACGAGACGATAACTACAGGTGGCACAGTGGGCTTGAACCATCGAGTACCACGAACAGACAGATCTTCAAAGGATTCAACCCTTCATTTGGAAACAGCGCAGGAGCATATGACAGGTACAAGATGTGACCTTAACCTCTTTGACGCATTGGGGCGGTCGGGTAGCCTAGTGGTTAAAGCGTTCGCTCGTCACGCAGAAGACCCGGGTTCGATTCCCGACATGGGTACTATGTGTGAAGCCCATTTCTGGTGTCCCCCGCCATGATATTGCTGGAATATTGATATAAGCGGCGTAAAACCATACTCACTCACTCACTTTGACCCATGTGTTGTATTTATAGTATGACGCGTGATACAAACACATTTCAAAGTATTCCATTTTGAGTGAGTGAGTGAGTTTGGTTTAACGCCGCTTTGAACACTATTCCAGTCACGGCGTGTCAGATGGATGTGGGAGGAAAGCCTGAAGTGATGCAAGTCTTAGACGTTTACCAATTCGGTGAAACCGACGAGCAGGGTATGGTTCTGACAATATCGCTAACTTAAGACATTTTCAAATAAAAACCATCCAAATGATAAAATCAACTGAGAGGTATAATTTCCTGTGCTCCTCAGTTTATAAAGGACAATTATGCTCAAGCACCTATTATATAACAGCCTTAAGTTATCTGAGAGGTATAGGTTAATGTGCTGCTAGAATATTGCTGACATAAAGGGAAAGTCATTGCTTTCAAGACCATGCCGTGCATTGGGACTTTTTTGAAGACCGTTCAAACAAATTGAAGCTTTTGACAATTTGATTTTGCAAACCCGAGCTGATAGAATTAGAAACAACACATATACCAACATATATCTGCAGAATTATTGACATTTGCGTTTTATTTGTACCTGAGTTTTTCATAAAAATAATGCTCTGAATTATTTTACATTTATTGTCCTCTAATGAAGAAGCACATTCAACGTCTCTCTCTCTCTCTCTCTCTCTCTCTCTCTCTCTCTCTCTCTCTCTCTCTTTCTCTCTCTCTCTCTCTCTCTTGCTCTCTCTCTCCCTGTCTCCAAAAGACAGTTAAGTCGACTTTTCCTGATGAAAGGTGAAAAAATCATGTTTTTTCGATTTCAAATATATAAAGCGACAGAACCCTTTCCATGTCCACTAGAAATCTTTCGACTATATCATGAGCATGCATTTATGAATCACTATCAAATAGTAATGATACCAGGTGTTCGCGAAAAGGTGAGCGTATCCTGCCCCACCGGTGACACCCGGCACAAACACATGCAAAGTCAAGTCAATTGTTCACATGGAAAAGCACGGGAATTATGGTACAAGTCAAAATAGGGAATTACATCGGACACACTTTTATATTCTTTTCTGATATAGCCTCATTTTTGAACGTGTTTGTGATCATATACTTTCTACAGCCTAACTAAAACGAGGAAATATATTTTCAGGAACCGTCTTCACTACGAACATGTTTGTAAAATAGTGGCCTATGCGACTTGATTATTTGTTCTTTTACAACTATTAGTATTGTAATTTCTTGGACTTCTGTTTTGCTTTGGGAGTTCAATTGACAGCTATGAAATAATTGCTGAAGACAAAAGAGCAGTTTAAGATCAACATAATACTCTATCCCTGAGCACAGCTTATAACATCTTCCCGAGGCAAGAGAGTTTTTACTTTAAAAGTCCAGTTTCCACCCTTGCCGAACGAGGCTTGAATCGTAGCGCCACCAGTGGCTATTACGAGTTATGTCCCTTCTCAGCCTCTCCTATTGACTAATCAGATTCCACCTCTCGTATCACATGCATTTGCTTCAAACAAAATGGCGGCGCCCAGTCAGGACGATCTGATCGATAATAAAGATCTATATTGTGATAAAACGGGTCTTACATTGCGAAATGCATCAAATGCACCTTGATTAAAAACAGGAAAAGATTTGGAAAATATCTGTTGACAACGAGTTGGCGGTGAACATGTTTTGCAAATCCTGCAATCGACCGAAATCTGCATGACAGTTTACGAACCGGATTTCGATTTCTTTGCGCGAATTTCATTGGACCATGCATAGACTCGTTAGTCCAGCCAAAATGTAACTCCATAATACCACCCTAGTTCGGCAAGTGTGGAAACTTGACTTTTATAGTCAGTTAACTCTCTTGCCTCGGAAAGATGAGCTTATAATTAATGTAACAATACTTTATACTTTTTTTTAGGATTATGGGTTGGGATTTAGGTTTGATTCAAACTTTACATCTATTAAAATATATTTTTCAATTGTGATGGAGTGGGGTCCATTTTGTTTCACGATAATTTGTTTTCATGGACAGTTTTTAATGAAAATATCAGACCATTAATGCGTTGGCGTCAAAAGTACGTGTGGTAGTATAGTAGAAGGATGACCATGCCGTACTATCTAGATTCGATGTCCGACTCACGATGGTGGACGGCATTTGGCTCTACCTCCCGCACCCAGTAGAACAGTTCCTGGCCCAGGTGCTGAAGGCCAAGTTCACTGAGTGTGACTATCAAGGGGCTCAAGCATATCTCAGTCAAACCCTTCCGGAAGGAAGTTACCTGACACGAAATGGGGCACAAGTCCTGTACCAAGCGAAAAGGGTTCTGGATCACCTTGGCGTCCTGTTCTGGATCAGTGGCGGCACATGTCTCGGTGAGATCAGTTTTTCGGCATTATATGACGTACCCTCCACTGTTTCTTGGTGAGTGAGTGAGTGAGTGAGTGAGTGAGTTAGCGTGCGTGCGTGCGTGTGAATTTTGTTTCAGTCAACCTTTAGAACACGCATGTTTTTCACTGATAGGAGAAGAATTAGCTTTTGGCACGCGTAGAAGGCCGGTGGGGTAGCCGAGTGGTTAAAGCGTTCGCTCGTCACACCGAAGACCCGCGTTCCATTCCCGACATGGGCTCAATGTGTGAAGCCATTTTCTGGTATTTACTTGAATATTGCTAAAACGGCGTAAAATCATACTCTCCCACTCATTGTTTTTCAGAACATTCAACATGTTCAACTTCATTTGTATGTTCAATGATTTTGATACAACACGCCCAAAGACAATCAGCAAGAAGCCATGACACACATCGGGGGCCCTAACTGTCACTTTTCACCAAACTAAACAGATATACGTCTGGCAACAAAGCCTCTGAACGCTTCCATAGCAACATCGTGCTGGCATCATTATCTTGTGTGACCCGCGCTGGGGTCCAGACAGGCTTGGACACGAAGCTTCATCGATGACGTCATTGGAAATGCGATCCCACTGCCCCAATAACTCACGTTCCAGCTGCTGTTGCAAGTTTGGACGTTGTCTTATCCGTCGCCCAAGATTATCCCAGAGATGTTCTATCAGTGACAGGTTTTATGAGCGTTACAGCTAGCCCAACACGGGTACGTTATTGATGTCCTCGAACAGTATGGGGCTGACATTGTCATGTTGAAGCAGTATCCTTTCGGCTATCTTGTGAGACAGGGAAGGACGTCCACTCTCCTGTCCTAACTAGATTGGGTGGGATCCATCCGTTTATGGGATCGTCAGATTATTTGAAATAGAAATATATCTAATCAAGCTGTGACCAGGCTCTTCTGAGAACGATACAAATAATGCGTTTTGAACCTGATTTCTCAAACACATATTCATGTTTTCCTTTCCTTTGTATGTGTTTTAGGGGCGGTCGGGCAGCCTAGTGGTTAAAGTGTTAGCTCATCACGCCGAAGACCCGGGTTCGATTCCCGACATGGGTACAATGTGTGAAGCCCATTTCTGGTGTCCCCCGTCGTGATATTGCTGGAATATTGCTAAAAGCGGCGTAAACCCTCACTCACTCACTCAATTGTATGTGTTTAGGCCTTGATTCACCAATCATCGGTACAATCTCTAAAACTACTTCTAGTGTGTCACTCTCTAATGAGAGAGTTCAAAAAGAAATAAACACGTGCACACATCTAAATAGGAGTGAGTGAGTGAGTGAGTTGGGTTTAACGCCGCTTTTAACAGTATTCCAGTTATATCACGGCGTGTCAGCCCGTAGTGATGCAGGTCTCAGACGTTAACCACTTCGGTGAAACCAACGAGCACGGGTATGGTGCTGACAAACCTAGAAACATAATCGGGGCGAACCGGGATTCGAACCCACAATCATAGGTTTCTGGCGTGCCCAAGGGACGCAACTCTGCACAGCGAATCGCGGCGTCTAAATAGGAAACAAGACAAACCACAAAGTCCGATTCGGCTTCAAACATGTCACCCATGTGGGGAATTGTTAATTGTAAAATTTATGACAGCTTGTGAATAATTAAAAGAAAGAAATATTCCCTAAATATTTAACTGTTATATGCTAATGGTTATATGACAGTGAGCGAAATATATCATATCTGTCCTGTAAACTGTAACTAGTTTTGCAGTATATACCAGTATATTAATGACAACCTCGTTTTCACGTAATTCAAGGTTATGAAATTCGTTTTGGTAAGAAATCTCGCATTGGATCATGGCATGCAGTATTGATAAAGCTCCATCGATTACAGTGAAACGTAAAATAATTGATATCTAAGTAATTGTCAAGTTATTCAGATGAAAAAGCCATTTATATGTATAGAGAGAGAGAGAGAGAGAGAGAGAGAGAGAGAGAGAGTATATATGTGTATATGTGTATATGTGTATATATATATATATATATATAAACTAGTGTCCAAAAGAAACGATACCACCTGTTTGCAACGACATAAAAGAAAAACTAAACAATACAGAAGTTTAGGATTGGTGTTATGCTTTTGAGAAATCCTTTCACAACATCTGTACAAAAATTTCATTTCAATAACATCTGTACAACCAATATGACAAGCCTTTAAAGATGGGTTGGGTCGAAAAATGAACATTTCGTTAGAGCACTGATCACAGAAACAACGGGAAATGTCACACCACACGTCTCAAAGTCAAGTCAGTAGCGGGTATGTCCACCGTGAGCATCAATACATGCCAGAACACGCCTACGGACTGATGACGTCAAACGTCTGATGACGTTGGGAGTGATGCGTAGCCATTCCTCGAGGAGACATCGTTCCAAGTCCTGGACGTTGACTGGAGGCACACGGCGACGTCGGATTTGCCGATCGAGGTGGTCCAATAAGTGCTCGATGGGATTCATGTCCGGTGAACATGCGGGCCATGGCAAAACCTGTACGTTGGCGTTGGCAAGGAAGTTCTGTGTCAATCTTGCTGTGTGTGGCCATGCATTGTCATGTTGGAAAAGGAGTCCACGAGGCTGTTGCTGAATAAAGGGCACCACAACAGGCCGTAGGATGTCATCAAGATAACGCTGTGCATTCAGGTTTCCACGAATTACGACAAGCATCGTTTTGACGTCACCACATATGTCACCCCAAACCATTAACCCTCCACCCCCAAACGGCCGGACCTGTTGGATACAGTTAGGCGCCAAACGTTCACCAAATCGTCGGTATACAAGCTGCCGTCCATCGTTTCTGAAGATGTGGAATCTGCTCTCATCAGAGAACATAACACGTGCCCAGTCCCGCCGTTGCCAACGTCGAACTCGCCTGGCCCAGATCAGTCTGTTGTTCCGGTGTCGAGGCGTCAGGAGCGGGCCGCGGTAGGGATGACGTGGCCGGTTACCATACTGCCGTAGTCTCCTGTAGACGGTCTGTCGACTGATCCTGTGTCCCAATGCTGTAGCCGCCGTGGACGTCGCTGTTACGGTGCGGTTCCTCAGGTGTAATACCCGGATGTAACGATCTTCACGGGGCGTGGTTACTCGTGGTCTTCCACTCCTGGGCCTGTCTGACGTCTGACCTGTCTGACGTAACCGCTGCATCAACCTGGTGATAGTGATGCGTGCGCAGCCCAACCTTCTGGCGACGTCGACGTGTGACGCTCCTTGTTGGACCATTCCAACGGCTCTCTCTCTCTCGATGGCTGTCAAACGTGGCATATCTTGTGTTCTTTTTGTTGCTGTGATATCAACGTGTCTGATCAGCCGTTTTATACAGTTTTTCTGCACGTGCAGAACATGCTAGAGAGGGAAATGTCACTTTCACGAAATTTACGTTTTTTCCCGGAAGTGATCACGTGTTCCCGGTATTTTTTATCGACTATGCTGTGTTTGGGATGTGCAATACGATTTGGCATGTTTTCATACTTGACAATTCACTTAGTAAAAAACAATTTTGAAAATAAGTTGGTATCGTTTCTTTTGGACACTAGTTTATAAACCCCCATTAAAGTGACAGACAATAATTAAGGTGTCTTGACACTGATCCATGCATAATAAACCTTAAACCTCAGAGGTATCTACTTATGAGTAAGCATTGTGTGAAATATTGTTACACCCGGTTGAATAAAAAGCCATTTATTCACGAGTGGCATCCGGACGATGAAGGCTTATCGGAAGTCCAGGTCCGGGCCGCTACAATATCCAATACTATTATATCTATACGAGTTGATAACAGTTTACAACTCGGAGGCTTGCCGAGGAGGTTTTGAACTTTAATCGTGTTCATGAATTTAATATCAACACTCACGAGAGTGAGATTCTATTTATCATTCAACAAAATTCTTCAAACTGTTTCAGTTGGTAAACAATAATAAGCGGTGTCTTGAGTGTAAAAAGGGTAGAAAACCCCTTTCAGCAGCAGATTTGTGACGTCATTTGATTGTGACGTCATGGAGACGGTGCAATTCCGCACTTATTGACATTTTCTTACAGTTGCCCTGCGTACTGATGCAAATGCGCTTGATTTACCATAATCTGAAGAAATTCTTAAAATTCTGCACACATATGAGTCAGAGCAGGAACATGTTGTTAATACGTATGCATGGACATGTTATCAATGCCCATATATGGGCATATATCGAAATTCATGCACAACCAGATTTGCAACCGGTTTCAGTTTGGTCTGTTAACAAACGAAAGTTATGTATTTACACTTAAATGCAGATTTAACTTGGGTAATAAATATAATACCACACGCAATACCATTTTTTACGAAACTGAATGAAAAGAGATTGAGTGTAGTATACGCTGTGTCTCACCCTGGGGACCGATATCTCCTGTGGAGGCCAGTTTTGGATCCTACACCACTTGCTGGACCTGATTCTTGCATGTATGCATAAGTACGGTGGCCCATAAGGGACATGGAGTCTGTTTTTCCATATCTTCATATTTCACTTACTTTTGTCGTTACCTTTTGCAAATTAACAGGATTTGTCTTACAAATATGTGATAAATCATGTGTAAAGAAGATATTGAATCGCAGAAAAGTGAAACGAAAATGTCAAAAACTAAAATGAAAATGTCAAAAAACAAAAACGAAAATGTCAAAAACTAAAATGAAAATGTCAAAAACAAAAGGGAAAATGTCAAAAACTAAAATGAAAATACAGAAAACTATTTCCACCGCGATGATATATTTACACCGCGGTGAAAACTAATTACACCACGGTGGAAATAGTTTTCTGTGGTTTCATTTTAGTTTTTGACATTTTCCTTTTGGTTTTTGACATTTTCCTTTTGGTTTTTGACATTTCCATTTTAGTTTTTTTCCATATCTTCATATTTCACTTACTTTTGTCGTTACCTTTTGCAAATTAAACGGATTTGTCTTACAAATATGTGATAAATCATGTGTAAAGAAGATATTGAATCGCAGAAAAGTGAAACGAAAATGTCAAAAACTAAAATGAAAATGTCAAAAACAAAAGGGAAAATGTCAAAAACTAAAATGAAAATACAGAAAACTATTTCCACCGCGGTGAAAACTAATTACACCGCGGTGGAAATAGTTTTCTGTGGTTTCATTTTCGTTTTTGACATTTTCGTTTTGGTTTTTGACATTTTCGTTTTGGTTTTTTGACATTTCTATTTTAGTTTTTGACATTTTCGCTTCACATTTCAGCGACTCAATAGCTACTTGAAAGTACATTTTCCATGTTTTCGGTTGTTTTTATACATGATTTCTTACATATTTGTATGACAAATTGTGTTAATTTGCTAAAGGTTACGATAAAAATAAGTGAAACATCAAAATATGGAAAAACAGACTCCATGTCCCTTATAGGCCATCGTACATAAAAGATGTTGAACATGCAAAGGTTCAGATTGGACCGGTGGCTGACATTGTGTCACACTATTACTTCATTTTTGATTTCTCCAAACATAATGTTTTTCGTTTATCAGGTTGGTATCGACAGTGTGGTTTGATCCCCTATTCCAATGATATAGACGTAGAGATTCCCATTCAGCACTACAGTGCAAACATCGTGCCGGCGTTTTTGAAAGCAGGGTTTAAACTCGTCCACGTTAAAGGGAAGGTAAGAATATATGGTTTTACAGACAACTCTTTTCATGGAATCAAGGTTTTAACACTTCTTTACGATATTCGGGTTTTAACTCTTCTTTACAGTACAGGGGGCACGGGTCGCCCACGTGTCAAAGGCGCCGCGATTCGCTGTGCAGAGTTGCGTCCCTTGGACACGCCAGAAACCTATGATTGTGGGTTCGAATCCCGGTTCGCCCCAATTATGTTTCTAGGTTTGTCAGCACCATACCCGTGCTCGTTGGTTTTACCGAAGTGGTAAACGTCTGAGACCTGCATAACTTCGGGCTTTCCCTACACATTAAGCTGACACGCCGTGATATAACTGGAATACTGTTAAAAGCGGCGTTAAACCTCACTCACTCACTCACTCACTCTTTGCAGTACATAGGTATCATAACTTGCTCAGATCAGATTTGAAATCCAATAGAGCATTCATGAGATTGTTATTGGTGTATTTATGCTGATGAAGTTGATCGTCTTTGTCAATAGGCCTGGGTTTGCTTTGACATCGCGTTTGCCAGTAGTAATGCAAACATTAACAAAGAAAGTCTAAAGGGTAAGATAACCCTTCCTTTTTCCAGGGTATGGCTCGTAAAATAGTACTATCCACTTTTGATTTGACTGTAAAATCTGAACGCATATCAGTTCCTCATATGTTCCAAAGTTCCCTAACAATTATCGTCATACAAGATTTAGTGAAATGTTATTGTTAGAATTATGTTATACAAAGTATTATAAATATAATTATTACTTGACCGTGAAGAGATCACCCGTTTTATAAACATACAGCTGTATTACACATTGTGTAATACCAAAAAGCTTGCTGATGTACTCTCCGAACACGTTTCTAGAACAAATATTGAAAGCTCTCAACATCCCTTGGCTTATTCAACGACATTGCGTGTGGAGATGATAGATCACTGAGAGGAGCTTATGCACACTCGATGGCCCCAGCTACCTTGTTGCTAGGCTGACGTCATATGGAATTGTTTCGCCGAAGGATCTTGCAACAAAATTCCACAAATTACACATCGGGTATTGTGGCGCCATTGTAAACTTTGAGCTGCAAGGCTCCGTTCCACAAGGCGATCGTAATGTAGCACGACAGTCGTTAGTCTAAGTAAAGTATGTGAGTTGCGATAACCTTAACGCTGCTATAATTTTGTGGAACGGACGCCTGAATTCTAAAGGTGGGCCGTTGTATGGCATTAAATTCATACGTTTCAACTTTTGACGTGCTTGAAGTATTATTGTGTTAAACTCAATTGGATTATGCCGTGGATCGTGTAGGTGTCAGCCTATTCACACTCAAAAACGTAATAAATGGCAAGTAATATATAAAATACTAAACTCGCTCCCGTGTAAAACCAATTTTATGAAACTCGTGAAAAACGCTTTCGCTCGTCAGATAAAAGAACTATTCACTCGTTTCATAAAATTGGTATTACACAGGAGCTCGTTTAGTATTCTATATGAGCAATATGCTACTCTCACTCCATTGCAGAGGTCTGATAGTTACCAAATAGCCATGATTGCTAACAATATCAAGTTCGATGTGTATTTCATCTATGAAGAGAAGACACACAGATGGGTTGGAACCACCGACTCCACGAATGGCAAGAAGTACAAGTGAGTGTTTATAATTGCAATTTTTTTACCCCATCCAAACATATCCCATATATGCCTTTGCCAAACGCGTTTCCTTTTCAGTAGGACTAGCTTCTAGCCTATCTATTAAAGTGAGTGAGTGAGTGAGTTGGGTTTAACGCCGCTTTTAACAGGATTCCAGTTATATCACGGTGTGTCAGCTTGATGGGGGAAGAAAGCCTGAAGTGATGAAGGTCTCAGACGTTTACCACTTCGATGAAAACCACGAGCACGGGTATGGTGCTGACAAACCTAGAAATATAATCGGGGCGAACCGGGATTCGAACCCACGATCATAGGGTTCAATCGTGTCCAAGGGACGCAACTCTGCACAGCGAATCGCGGCGCTTTAGACGACTGGGCCACCCGTGCCCCTATCTATTAAAGGAATTAACTTCAAAATAAAAAACACAAAGCCAGATTTATGCGAGGTAGGAAAGTACATTTATACGAGGAACCGTACAAGATATTGACCCAAAATGTTGTGGAGAGAACACCTGACAATTGAAGTCATCTCTGTTATCGGTACACAGGAAAAGTCCATGGTGAAGGTCAGGTACCTAAACAACGCGTATGTCCTTGTTGTGATCATTTCGATCCGGGAAATTTGTCAAAGACACTATAACACATTAAACCTCTTCATTTTGCACCTGGGGGCACGGGTGGCCCAGTCGTCTAAAGCGCCGCGATTCGCTGTGCAGAGTTGCGTCCCTTGGGCACGCCAGAAACCCAAGATTGTGGGTTCGAATCCCGGTTCGCACCGATTATGTTTCTAGCGGTTTGTCAGCACCATACCCGTGTTCGTTGGTTTCACCGAAGTGGTAAACGTCTAAGACTTGCATCACTTCGGGCTTTCCTCCCACATTAAGCTGACATGCCGCAATATTACTGGAATACTGTTAAAAGCGGCGTTAAACCCAACTCACTCACTCACTCACTAATTTTTCACCTCTTGGTCCGCTTATTTTGCTTTTTATTTGCGTTTCTTTTTTTGAAGAGTATATTTTGCGTGTGTATTTGTACCTTGTTAATCAGCTTGTGTACATCGTGTTTTATGCTTATGCCTCAACGAACGCAAAATAACAACGAAAAGTGCAATAATGCAATAATAAACACAAGCCTCGCCCACTCTGTTGTCAGCCAGTCATGAAACATTTGTCCGCTTGTGGGCGTGGCCTATGTTTTAAGGTTTATGCATACATAAAACACAAAAACTGTTTGGTTCCTATCGAATGCCATTGAATCACTTGCAGTTGATTTATATCAAGTTGAATATGGTTACATGTACATGGCCCTTTGTTTTACTGGCCTTCACTGGTATATTTTCAAAGATGTACAATTTGCTGGCATCACTTATGCCTGAGACAATGCCGATGTTCTGTTTATCTTTTTAACTCACTAACTCACTCACGCTGCTTGCCATTGGCATCTGGGTGCGGAATGTCTGGATCCTGCTGGGTCCGCATGCATGAAGCAGAGTGCTATTGTGATCAGGTGGCCCTGCTTTGGTTGCTGTTGGTCTATAGTTCTTATAAACTAAGCGGCAAAAGAAAGTATAGGTTGGCAATTTGTGATTTTCTTTAAAACAGCGATAACTAGTGGAAAGTGGGTATTGGGAATATGGCTGCCCAGGAACAGGTACCAAAAACCACCTCACCCGAACGCGCCACCCTTGACGGCGCTCGTGCGGTGACAAAAAAATATTGAAACAGGTTTCCCGTCTATGGCATAAACTGCACGTGCATGTTAGCTGTATAAATGCGTTCGTCTGCAGGGTATAACCATACGTGATGAAAGCACACAAAGAAATGCCACGACTGTCACAGGAGCAGAGAGAGCCATCGGTATGGCCGAAATGGGGGCAACACAGGTCCAAATTGCCAGAAAGTTTGGTTGTACACCATTGACAGTAGCCAGGGTGATTCAACGGTACAGGCAGACAGGGAGGACACAGGACAGACCTAGAACCGGACGACCCCGAGTGACAACACCACTGAAAGACGCTCAGATACGGCTCATTCACCTGTGAAACAGATTCGTAACGGCGACAGCGAGGGCAGCAACAGCATAGGGACATCCCATTAGCCAACGTACAGTACTACGACGACTTCGTGCTGCTGGAATCCGAGCGTATCGTCTTTACCGAGGAATGGTACTGACTGCTCAACATCGACGCCTGAGACTGCGATGGGCGAGGCAGGTTCGACGCTGGCAAGTGAGAAATTGGCATCGAGTGCTGTTTACTGATGAAAGTCGGTTTTATCGACGCAGAGGGGAACGTTTGGCTCCGGCGTGTATTCGAGAGGTCCATCCACTCGGGGGGGGGGGGGGGGGGGGTAGTCATGGTGTGGGGCGGTATTTGTGAAGATCAGAAGGCTGATTTGGTGATTATACAGGGACGCTGTGCAGTACAGAGACCAAGTGTTGCAGCCAGTTGTGCTTCCGTTCTTACAAAACCCCCGCCGTGATATTGCTGGAATATTGCTAAAAGCGGCGTAAAATCAAACTCACTCAATAACTCTTACAAAACCAACAGCAGGGGACATTGTTTCAACACGACAATACTAGGCCCCATACTGCAAGACTGACTCGGAACTTTCTAAACCAGCAGAACGTTGACGTTTTGCCCTTGCCTGCCCTCTCACCCGATATGAATCCTATTTAACATCTGCGGGACCATCTTGCCAGACAGATTAGAGCACACCATCAGCCTCCCGTCAACAGACAAGAATTGCAGCAGGCCCTGAGAGACGAGTGGCAACGGATTCCAGTCCACGTCATCAGAAGACTGACGTCATCGATGAGGCGGCGTATCACAGCATGCATTGCGGCAGCTGGAGGTCATACACGCTATTGAAGGCAACTGTGTCGACAATGAACTTGTAGTGTGTTTGACAACTTTTGAAAATGAAACTTCTTACACCGCCATTGGGCTTACATTACCTGTGATTGCACAATTTCATTCAAACTGGTTGATCAATCATTTGTGACCCCTCCCTAGATTATATTATAATTCACAACAAAACCTCTTCTTGTTATTTTTTTATCGATCATAGAACTCGACCTATACTTTCTTTTGCCGTCCAGTTTTTAGTTATTCGGGTTATTTGTATGGGTGGTATTTGAACAGCTTTTACTCTTGGTAGTCATGAATAAGGATAACGAGATAAATATTCTTGGAATATTTTTCCAGGTACATTCTTCCGAAGTTTGACACTTGCTGGACTGACTTCAAGGGTTGCCGAGTGCGCGTCCCCTGCCCTACTCTGCCCTACATCACTGCCTACTACGGCGAGAACTGGAACACTTCAGTCAAGAGGTGGAACTGGAGGAGGAGCAACAGCAACGCACAGAAGAACGGGGTGTGGCCAAAGGACGAATGGAAAATTGTGATTCAGAAAACAAAGGTCGACATATTTAAACATAAAATGTCAACGCAAAGGAATAACCAGTCTCGAAGGGGCGGTTGGGTAGCCTAGTGGGTAAAGCGTTCGCTCGTCACGCCGAAGACCCGGGTTCGATTCCCGACATGGGTACAATGTGTGAAGCCCATTTCTGGTGTCCCCCGCCGTGATATTGCTGGAATATTGCTAAAAGCGGCGTAAAACCAAACTCACTCACTCACCAGTCTCGATTATCACCCGGAACGTATTCCACTGGTCATTAAAGGCAAAATAACGGTGAAGATTATGTGAATGGATCACCGAATACCAGACTGAGTGATGGTACGAGGCGTTTGCGGAAAGGGTAAGCATGTCTAGCCCCACCGGTAACTCTCGACACACAATAAGTATTCGTTGTCTGACGCCGTACAATAGTACTCCTGCAATACGTGGGCAGCCACAAAGAATATCACAAGCACTTTACTGCTTTAAATAAAATTTTCTTTCAAATTTCTCCATTTGTGCGATATACATATGAAATATAACTTTCTTAGTTCACGCTTTAAGTAAAAGTAAAGTGAGACTTTCTTTAAAATATTGAACAAATTGAAAACAGACTTTCCCCAAGTTTATAAAAAAATACATGTATCTTGGTCCATCTGTTTCAAAGAAAAAGAGTAACAGGTTTTAGACTGCTTTCGCACAGTATACACTGTGGAAGGAAATTATTACGGTAGCGATGGCTCGATGACACGACGGCACGATACGATGGCACGATGACACGACGGCAAAATTCGATGACACGACGGCACGATACGATGGCAGGATGATATGACGGCACGATACGATGACACGACGGCAAAATGCGATGACACGACGGCAAATTGCGATGACACGACGGTACGATACGATGGCACGATGACACGACAGCACGATGCGATGGCACGACGGCAAAATGCGATGACACGACGGTACGATACGATGGCACGATGACACAACGGCAAAATGCGATGACACGACGGCACGATACGATGACACGAAGACACGACGGCAAGATACGATGGCACGATGACACGACAGCACGATACGATGGCACGATGACATGACGGCACGATACGATGACACGACGGCAAAATGCGATGACACGACGGCAAAATGCGATAACACGACGGTACGATACGATGGCACGATGACACGACGGCACGATACGATGACACGATGACATGACGGCAAGTTACGATGACACGAAGACACGAAGGCAAGATACGATGGCATGATGACACGACGGCACGATACGATGGCAGAATGACATGACGGCACGATACGATGACACGACGGCAAAATGCGATGACACGACGGCAAAATGCGATAACACGACGGTACGATACGATGGCACGATGACACGACAGCACGATGCGATGGCACGACGGCAAAATGCGATGACACGACGGTACGATACGATGGCACGATGACACAACGGCAAAATGCGATGACACGACGGCACGATACGATGACACGAAGACACGACGGCAAGATACGATGGCACGATGACACGACGGTACGATACGATGGCACGATGACATGACGGCACGATACGATGACACGACGGCAAAATGCGATGACACGACGGCAAAATGCGATGACACGACGGTACGATACGATGGCACGATGACACGACAGCACGATGCGATTGCACGACGGTAAAATGCGATGACACGACGGTACGATACGATGGCACGATGACACGACGGCACGATACGATGGCACGATGACATGACGGCAAGATACGATGACACGAAGACACGAAGGCAAGATACGATGGCACCATGACACGACGGCACGATACGATGGCAGAATGACATGACGGCACGATACGATGACACGACGGCAAAATGCGATGACACGACGGCAAAATGCGATAACACGACGGTACGGTACGATGGCACGATGACACGACAGCACGATGCGATGGCACGACGGCAAAATGCGATGACACGACGGTACGATACGATGGCACGATGACACAACGGCAAAATGCGATGACACGACGGCACGATACGATGACACGATGACACGACGGCAAGATACGATGGCACGATGACACGACGGCACGATACGATGGCACGATGACATGACGGCACGATACGATGACACGACGGCAAAATGCGATGACACGACGGCAAAATGCGATGACACGACGGTACGATACGATGGCACGATGACACGACGGCACGATGCGATTGCACGACGGTAAAATGCGATGACACGACGGTACGATACGATGGCACGATGACACGACGGCACGATACGATGGCACGATGACATGACGGCAAGATACGATGACACGAAGACACGAAGGCAAGATACGATGGCACGATGACACGACAGCACGATGCGATTGCACGACGGCAAAATGCGATGACACGACGGTACGATACGATGGCACGATGACACGACGGCACGATACGATGGCACGATGACATGACGGCAAGATACGATGACACGAAGACACGAAGGCAAGATACGATGGCACCATGACACGACGGCACGATACGATGTCAGAATGACATGACGGCACGATACGATGACACGACGGCAAAATGCGATGACACGACGGCAAAATGCGATGACACGACGGTACGATACGATGGCACGATGACACGACGGCACGATACGATGACACGACGGCACGATACGATGGCACGATGACACGACGTCACGATACGATGGCACGATGAAACGACGGCCTATACGTTAAGCCATTACGGACTTGTCTCCCTTTGCATTTCACACACTATCACTTTCGTTTTGACGCTCAAGTATGGTTGGTATCCTTACATTTCGTTACGTTCTATGTTGTGCATGAATATAGATTCTATGAGATTGTTAGGTAATTGTGTGACGAGATGGGACAGTTTGTTTGGGGTAACACATGAGAGAGAGAAGGCTGGTTACAGAGGGCTGAGCCGATTGTCTCTGTGAGTATGTTTTTGTCGGTTGATTGCACAGCATGCTTTTCTAAGTCGAATAAAGGTAACGTGGTCCCTGTATACTTTTTACACATTATATTGTCTTTCCTCTGTCGATGTTTCTGCATGATTGGTAACTTCATGACGCACGTCCCCAACAGTGCGGCCCTCAACACCGTCAAGGCTCTAATTTCTTGCGGCGTCAGCATGGTCCAGCTACACCCACAGAGGCCACCGCGACATGGGCAGCATCGACTGTCCCGGGACGGCACTCTACAACCTCATCAGAACGTGGCCACACTATTAAAACAATAATTTCGTCATGACATAATGTAATGATGAATAAGGATAATTACAGAGAGAAATTAACACGACATATCAATATTTTTTAATTATTAATTGATCAGCACTCAACAAGACAAGGCAGATTTTGACTTGAGTTAAATTGCTACAAAGTCTGTAGATGTCCATGAATCGTCAATCCAGATGGTTTTGCCCCATATAGTTAATATGTAGGTGGGTGAGTGAGTATTGTTTTACGCCACTTTTAACACTATTCGAGCAATATCACGGCAGGGCACACCAGAAATGTGCTCCACACATTCTACGCATTCTACATATACTGGGGACTGTATGCCTTAGAATGAGTAAGTGAGTTGGGTTTAAGGTGAGGTGAAATGGGGTTTAACGTCGCGTCCAAGATTATTGCACTTATATAACGACGTGCATGTACGTGTGTGTGTTTGTGTGTTTGTGTGGCTGTTTGTACTAGCCCGGACTGATGCCGATTAATAGTGCTAGCTCACTGAGATACCATGCCGCAGTTGAACATGAATGCCCCACTCAGACACAGTATACTGACTCCGAGCCGACCAGTCCTTGTTTTAGCCCCTTAATGCCGAGCGCCAGACAGGGTAACAACTAGTACCATCTTTTAACGTCTTTTGGTATGACGCGGTCGGGGATCGAACCCCGGACCTTCCGCTCTCCGGGCGGACGCTCTACCACTAGACCACGGGGGCGGTCGAGTTGGGTTTAAGAAGCTTTGGACAGTATTGAAATTATATCACTACATGTCAGCTTGAAACGGGACGCAAACACAACGTGATCCAGGTCTGAGACATTTAAAACCTTGCACGGGCATTTTGCTGACAAACCGAGAATCATATGGCGAAAATGGATTCGAACCTCCCACCACAGGTTAAGGTTAAGGGACGTAACTCTGCACAGGAAATTCCGGCGCCTTAGATGATGTTCAGCAGACGCGTACGCTAAAATATATTAACCAATGCCAAAGTACTTTCTGGGCAAAATGTATTTGATATATTTAAGGAGTGACTGTGTATTTTTTCGGTTCATTGAGGTATGAATCGAAAACCGATGTGCAAACTGTATGAATCCGCGATCGGGACAAAAACAGGCAAGCGAGTCTGCATATATGCTGTTTCATTCCTTCTCGGCCTTCGGTCTCAAGGGTTGTATGGACAAGGAATGTGCATGGATTTCGCTAAATGCCCAGTGCATGGCGATACACGTGAGCAGAAAGGGAATTCCCTCGCATGTAATGTTAGGATTCCCCGACATTCCGTAGTAATAAAAGTAGTCCGCTTCGGTGGGCGTGGCTTACGTTTTTACATTCATTGGGAAATGAAGGCAATAACACGTGACCCATTCAGCTAATCAGAATGCAGGAATTTCAATGAACACAAGGAAAATTTATTTACAGTAAACTACGGTTACTTCGAACTCAACGGGACTACTAATTTTAGTTCGTTATAACCGTAGTTCATTACAAGCATCTATACAGCATAACTACAGCAAATACTCGGGACCATAAAGTAAGTTCGTTATATCCGTCAGTTCGTTATAAGCATGTTCGTTATAACCGTAATATAATGTATATATGTATGAGGGAATGACTCTCACTGAGTCATGTATGTCCATGGATATCGAAAGAGGTGTCATCCTACCCCAGACCTATGAACATCCGGGGTGGTAAAGGTCTTAAGCAACCAATGCTTGCCCTAAAAGGCTACTATGCTTGTCGTAAGAGGCGACTAACGGGATCGGGTGGTCAGGCTCGCTGACTTGGTTGATGCATGTAGTGACCTCAACACGTCTTCGTGTACCCACTGTATAACGACCTCGACCTTCAAGCACAGTAGATGGAGGTCAGAACATCACTTGTGTCGCGACACCTCTCTATTAGGTGATTCGTTGGTATTGTTTTCTGTGAAAAATATACTATAGGTACGTGCCGGTACATAATTGGGTAGATAATGGAATAAAAATACAAAGGTTGACACATACCCAACTACCTGACACCTGAATGCACCTAATACAACGATTGTGCAAATGCTTGTGTTTGTTCAAGCATTATCAATAGCCGGCAAAGGTCGCCACTTTCGTGCCTTAAGCAAACTATGAACATCGAAAAGGGCACCTGCCAGGCCGTGAATGGTAATGCGACAGATTCTATTTCCATACATCAACAGAGTATTGCAGCAATGAATGCAAAAGTATGTTTTTGTCAAGGAACGTTGCAACGCCTGTTTGTTCATACTGAATAAAAGGCAAGTGCTCGAAGCCAGAATTCGACAACAGGCACACAAGGAGACGGATAAGGACACTTGGTAAGGTGTAATCATTTCACTCTGTAGTGTTATATGTGATTGGATATTAATTAATGTTTTAAACATCTATGCATTAGGGGCTCTGGTGG